TACGCCAGCACCATGAGTTTCTCCCTCCCGGCGTTTTCGAGCCGACTCCTCACAGACATTTCGCTGACAGACAGCGCCATGAAACGCTTGCCAAACTTCCGCTCCATCTGGCACAGCCTTGTGCCAACCGCAAGCTAGGAAGAAGTTCGACAGGACTGCGAAATCTAAACTAAGTGCAGTGTCGTGCCATTTCGCAGCCATGTTTGTGCCACATACCATCGTACATAATGGCAATGTCGTCCCTGCTAAGTTCTCTTACTGCGAGCTCTTTCGACCTCTCAAGATTGGCGCTGACGTCATCCGTTGCCGCGTCACGAACTTTCCAGCTGACAGGGGTGTGAATGACTTTGATGCATTGGCTTTTCGAAGCCAACAACTGCCGCAAATCGGACCAGCTGCTCGTAGCCTATTCCTACAGAGCGCGCCGCACAACGGCTTTCACTTGCGAGCAATGCCTTTTATCATTCATAACGGAGATAATTACAGGAGAAAAGCATTGTTCAGCTGCGCTTCTCCACAAGACATGAACCCCGCAAAAAGGTTTCACAGCACATACAGGCCCGCAGCGGCCAATGGCGGTCCCCGATTCGTACCATGTGATAGGCCAGTCGTGGCGCTCGAAAAACGCGCAGAAGAGTGATTCTTTTTATTATTTCTTGCGCTGAATCAGCGAGAGAAACTGTTTTTATTTGAAGAGTGAGGCTCGACTCTTCGACTCATGCGATCAACAATGGCTAGCGGCGGCGCATTATCGGCGGCAAGGTGCTTGAAGACTGCATACTTTCGACCTTTTAGCAAGCACCTTGTGCTCTTTAGATGCAATTTTAAAGCTTTCCTGTTAATTCTCGACCTGTATTATTTTTTTCATAACTGTAGAGGTATTAATCTTGTCAAAACAGGTGAAAATAAAAAATCGGTACTTTAAAAAAAAACTCGTTTTTCGACCCGCATCTCCCCTTAAGGCTGTATCGTATTTCGTTGGCATTTTGGAGTACAGTAATTAAAATTCTGGTAAACAGATATAGTAGTAGGCACTGGTCTTCAGTCGGGAATCAGACATGAGCACTAGTAATAATATCTAAGGCTAGCCTGATGACGTAGAATAGTGAATGAAATGGTACGGACATAAATTATTTCTATTTCTAAAGAGCAGCAAAAGGCGAAAACCTCGTACGAAAGTAATGACGTGCTTGCACCTCACACCGCATGGCCTCAGCTTGAATTAATAGACCCAACGTCTGTCTTCACATGTTGTCTGGCAGACGATTCTCAGAGCAATACACAACATACACAACGATTAGTCTACGCACACACCAGGTTATCCTGTGTTGCTCTTTAAATTCATGAACGATTCCCCAGTACAGTCGAATCTCATTAATTCAAACACGCCTAATTCGAACTTGAGGTTAATTCGAACTCGTGCTGTGGTCCCGTCAAAGCTATGTGTATTCTAATGGGCGAAAACGCCCTGTAATTCGAATGCGCAAGCACTTGTGATGATTAATTCGAACATACTTCACTCTGAAAATGCTCTCAATATCACACCCAATCCCGCAACGGCACCTCCGACACCTCAGCACTGCGCGCGAGGAAGGGAAAGAAGAAAAGAAAAGAAAAAACTGTGGTGGAATGTTTGCTCTCCCTCAAATGCTGATCTGTGACGCGCCTGTGTCACGCTTTACCCTTTCATGTCCCTGTCACATAACGTAGAGACCCTTGTCCTTTCAGCCCCGCCGACAAAAAGAGCAAAAAAAAAAAGAAGCTGTTGTGGAGTGTTCGTTCTCTCTCAAACGCCGATCTGCTCCTCCCCCGGGTGTAACCGCTCCTCCTTTCTCGTAATGTGCTGGCCACGCTCCGGCTGCGGAGCAGAGGGTAGTAGTGGAGACGCAGTCGTTGCCATCAACTTTAGAGAGCGTTGGCGCTGGATTTAGTCGCGCGCTACTTCTCTTGCCAGGAGAACACTGAAGCCGAAGTTAAAATGCTTTGCAATCTGCGTGCGAAATTGATTGATTCACTTCAAAGGCAAACGTGTGCAGATGCACATTACCGATAACTTCAATTAATTACGGATGTCCTGTCATTTGCGAATAAATATGTCTTCAGAAACTTCCCTCTCATGTACTAGCTCAACGCACATGCGCCACTGCATGGTAAGCCCTCGGTTCATTTTAATTTCATTGATTCGAACTTCTTTTAATTCGAACAATTTTTCTGGCTTCTATGAGTTCGAATTATTAAGATTCGACTGTACTTAAATTTAATAACAGGGGCTGTAATAATGATACCAAAGATGTGAATGGTGCTTGAGAAAGTTGTGAAAAATTGCTGCCTGGAAGTAAAGGTATAGTGCCTAAAATATTCTGGCTATTGTGTCGTACGCCATCTCTTTTCAATGAAGGAGGGTGGCACAAGCTCGCATGAATGCCCGTGGTGGCAGCGAGGGGCACTGCCAAACAGGTGGATGCTGACCGTGTGTGTCGTCTGGTTTGCACAGCTGATTTGCCGGGGTCGTGTGGATCTCTGTGTTCGTGTTTTCAGTGTTATTACTGGGTTGTGTGTTTGTTGCTCATGTCGTCAAAGGGTGAGTGAGTGGTTGTCGTGTTTTTGTGCCTGTCAGAACGGGCACTATAAGGTGAATGATATAATGTCCAAGTCAAAGCGATCGAAGAAAAGGGGTCAAAGCGATCGAAGAAAAGGGCCTGCGTCGTACCATTCTGTACAACTGGCTATCGTTCGAACAAACAGCAATTATTCTTATTCACGGCCCCAGCAGATGAAGCACGTCTTGCCGAATAGGACAGAAAGATAATGAGGGTGGACAGGAGACTTACGCCAACTGCTGTGGTTTGTGATAAACACTTTGATGAAAGTTTTATCGAGCGTGCGTTCATCGTCATCGTGAACAACGTTGTCGACAAGATCCCCTGCGACAAACCGGGCCTCCAACTTGATGCGGTGCCCACCATATTCCCTGAATATCCTTGGCACCTTGTTCCAAAATTGCCAACAAAACAAAAAAACAAGAAAGTTTTGCCTTCAGCATGCATACAGACATTCCAGCAAAGCGTCGCCACAGCGCCAAGTCGATTGCCTCGGAAGTGATCTCAGCCATTAAAGAATCTTGTGCTGAGGATAATTCATCTGTGCCTGAAGAGTGCGCCACACCCTGTGGATCAGAAACAGAAAGTGTGCAAGACACTGAAGCTCGATCAGCACCCACAATGCACCAAAAGACACCCATTTTGAGACCTTAATATTCCTTCACTTGTCTGAAAGTGCCGTCTCTGCCAGCAGAAACAGTAGCGTATGCGTACTATGACAGTGAAGCGAATAGTTGCTCTACCTTGTTCATAGAGAAAATGGAATACTATGAAAAGCCTTTGCTTGAACGGCAATCAGTAGTCGCAATGGTATATCTCTGGACGAGAGAAATCAAAGCAAATCCTCACACGAAGTGATGAGACTGAAGCCCTCATCAAAGAAGTTTCAGTGACAGCTCTTTGTGGTGGTTGTGGCTTAAGGCCAGTTTCATCAAAACACAACTCATTCAGAGGCATGTTTTTTTCTTTTTCCGGAAAACGCTTGTTGACATTGCAGTCATACGGAAAGCCTTGCTTTCTTTTAGCAAGTACCAGAGGGTTCTGGTTCAAAACCAGGCCTGCAAGAGGAAGAAAAAGGCAAAGAAAAGTGCAAGAGAAGATGCCGAAAAGAAGTGTAAGAACATTTCTTACAATTTGTTGAGAATCAATAAGAGACTTGCGAACACAAAAAAGCAACTGTCTTGTATGAAAGTGCAAGATGAGACAGTTAGCATAGATGCATTCGAAAGTAACATTAGGTCTCTTCGGCCAAAACAACAGCTCGCTGTGAAGAGCTGCTTCGTTGCTGCCCAACGGAAGTCACATAAAGGCATGCAGTACAACGATGAGTGGATTGTGGAATGCATCATGATAAAAATGCAAAGCCCGAAGTTGTATGAACATCTCCGCAAAGACGCCATCATGGGAGTGCCTGGGAGAACTTGTGTGCGAAGGTATGTACTTGCAGCGTTTCTAGGGTGGCTTTGGACTCAGTGTCAATATCTTTAACGCTTTGACTGAGCTATATGTGCTGGCATAAGCTATAGAGATTCTAGTGCAAGTACGAGAACTCTTTGAGGCAGGGCATGCTAACATCCAAGGCACACCGCGGCTGTACACCTCGAGTAGAAGACATTAAAAGCCTTCGCTTCATATATTCTGCCGACGTCACGCATAGCGGCACTATTGTGTTTCATTAAAATAAATCAGCCTATAGTTGCTTCATTGAACAAAAAGTATTCCGCTTCTAGCATCAAAACCGGCAGCAGCTCTCTTGCCGATGCTGTGGAAGCATGGCGGGATATGAGGTGCGGGCGGCCCCGCAGCACCCACCCGCGCTGCAGCGCTCCAAGCGGCAGCCATCGGCATTCATCTAATCAGGTGCCACCTAAAAGGCCGCAGATTGCACACTAGCCAGTATATTCTAGGCACTATAGTAAAAGTATCTCTAAACAAATCAAAAGTGGCACGGTAATTGTTGCGGTTGGCAGAGCTGTTTCATGCCACATAGCAAGTTTTCAAAAGCAGATGGTGCTCCATGGCAGAGAAAAACTTGCTATCATGCAATGGAGTGACCGTCAACAAGTTCTTTCTGAAAATCGTAAATGTACATTCACAGCCAGTGGTGATCCAGCCACTTCAACTTTTGGAGCAATTTTTGGAGCAGAGAAAATGCTCTTTTGGAGCACCTTTGTATCGGCACTCGATTTTGGAGCAGCAATTGTAGCAGCAACTTATTTTACAAAAATACATCTCTCATTATTGCTGAAACTAAAGCTGTGATAGCAACCACAGTTCTATAAAACCGTATTTGTCTCAATTCTCAATTATTAATTAGAGTGTCACGTGCATGCCGATTTTAAAAGCCACCAAGAAATGGACCAGTCCATCAGATTTAATGCACTACTGAAAATGAAGGTAGTGCAGGTGTAGCATTAGTTTATTAAAGTACACTAAAAGCTACGACGAAAATTCCCAGAAACCGAACTGTAAGGAGAGTTTTGAACTTTCATTTATTTACAGAAGAAAGATGTGCATGTTGCAGCATTTACGTCCTCTTGCTCACCTTCTTGCTTAGTTCTTCCAGCTGTGAGAGGGTTTGGCTCAAAGCGGAGTTGCCTTCAGCTAATAAAGTTTGCCCAGCTTCAACTTGTTCCAGGCTCTTAGAACGCAGACCAGAAGAAATTATGTCTTCTGCTCGTTTCAGCAATGCCCTACTTGAGGTGACCTTTTCTTCCAAGTTCTTACGAAGTCGCTTTTCGTCGACATCAGCACCAGTGTCTTGGTCTCTGTGATGTGTGGTGCGCGTTCAAAGTGCGCGCCTTCGAAAAGTGCGCGTCACGGAAAAAAAAAAACAAAAGGAGAAATACCAGAGTGCACGTGCGGTGATGCTTAAACAAGAATGACGACGTTAAAGAGCGTCAAGCACGAGGATGCGTGGCAGGACGTGAAGTAAACAAAAGGTAAAACATCCAATGGGCAGCGAACACGGAGATTTCAAGGCCCAATGGCTTGACACCACGAAACAGTAGTATCTCCAATGAGAACGAGACAAGTGGGCCAGAGCTGAAGCAGGAGCCTGGGGAGACGAGAGCAAGGGGAATTCGAGGCAGGCAGTGCAAGCGGAAGGTCGTCACCGGACTGGGCGCTGAAGATGGGCCGTTGGGTTCCGGACCCGAGCCTACAGGACTTCCACCGGCCGGGGCCTCCTGCTGTCGGGTTCCCGCTCCAAAGGACCGTGGCCATCCGGTCCTGAACTCCTTTCCAGAGCCTGCGGACTTCGGTTCCGGCAGGCGAGCTACAGCCGTCGGGCTCCGGGCCCGAGCTGTGCGCCCAGCTGCTTGACTAGGTCGACCCTAGTTCCCGGACGCGTCGCCACCAGCCTGCGTTCTCCCGTCTCCGACGTGTCCACGCTCCTCAAGCCGAAACCATCACGATTTGGTAGGGCTTTTCGACGTGTCGCCAGCAGCCAGCGTTCCCTCGTCCTCGTCCAGCCCACGCATTGACGCAGGAGTCACGGCGTTCCGGTTTCTCATCACCGCCGAAAACCAACTTGTGGGTGAGACTGCACCGATACTCTTGCGCTACTCCCATCACTCAGCCCCTTTCGAACGTTAGGTTTAGTTACTGACTTTGAACGTTTTTGTTGGGTGTTTACAGATGTGTTTCGTCATGTCCAGTCAACTGTTTATTAAGTGTTTTGTTTTGTGAGGAATCTTTGCCTTTTTTTCTTTTCAATTAAACTTTTTGTGTGTTTCTTGGAAACCGAACGGCTTTGTCCTTATTAACAAAACTCTCTGAGGCTCAGCCCGGGAGAAAAACAAATCAGCAACAAGAACCCTGCATCACAAATTGGCGTCCGCTGCGACAGGACAAAGTCGTTTGTTTTTCCAGTAGATTTTTTGACGCGGTTAACACGATGACGAACACGTGGGAGTTAATTGAGTTGGCGGATAAAATGGGACTGACGGGAGCGGAGTTTAGAGTATGGTACGAGGAGCGGATGGAGAGGGAGCGTGAGCAACGGGCTGCAGAACGAAAGGCGGCGAAGGAAAAGCTTGAATTGGTGCTTAGAGCTAAGAAGGAGGAGCTAGAGCGCGTAACGCGTGAAAATAAAGTGTTGCTAGAGCGTCAGACACGCATACTGAAGCAGCAGCTCCAATTAGAGAGGGTGGACTTCGAGCGGCGACTCGAGCTTGCGATGGCGAAAAGGGGGCAGCTGGCGATGCAGAAGGTCGAGCAAGCGGTGAATGTTTGCTCCGATAGCAGCGTTTGCTGGAGGGAAGTCGATTCCTGCAAGGTTGGCCTCGAACCTCGCGACAGCCTTACTTCGGAGCGAGAAGCTCAGATAGAGGAAGGCAGAGAGGTGGACAGCCAAGAAGGCAGGAGTCATGAGGAGTTTGTTGAAGCGACGGAAAGCTTCTCTGGCTGGGAACATATTACTTCCGTTAGCTGCTTGGGGACCTCTGAGAGGCCAAGCACCTATGAAGAAGAGCGCCTGGATATGGGCGACCTAGAAGCTGTGGAAAATGTGGTGGAGCAAAGCTTCGATAGCAGGGAACGAAGAAGCTCCATTCAGAATGAGGTGTGTATCAGAACGTCTCAGAGGCCGAGCACATTTCGGGAAGGGGTAGGGCTACCTCTCAATAGCTCCATGGAAGGAGCGCTAGAACGTCATTGGGAAGATGGCAGCGAATGCCATGAAGGCTCTGATATAGTGGCCACTGATTGTTTTGTACCGACAGAGGTAGCAGCAGGCACCACGTCAATGGTCCTAGACCATACATATATCTCACTCAGAGAGAGAGGGGATTCTAGTTCACAGGATAGCGTAACTGCTATTTGTCCGAGAAAACACGATGGGAGTGCTGAAGCACTCTTCAAAATAAACAGTATCGAATCGGAGGTGGGCTCGATAGTAGGTATGGAGAATGCCAGACAGGGTCTTGAACCTGAGAACGTGATTGGTTTTGAACCTATAATTAAGTCCACTCAAGATGAGCTGTATAATGACCGAGCACAACGGCATCCCTTCTCAAGAATCCAGGAACCTCACACGCTTGTCGGAGCGTTTGGGCTTGCTGAGGGCACCCCGAGCTTGTGTTCATTAGATGGTGAATTAAAAGAAAGCATTTGTGTGAGAGATTGTGGCATTTGGACATTCGTGTCTCAGTGCGTTTCGTGTCGACGCCGACGGCTCGAGACCGCGCCCTGTTCCTCTGTGACCGGTAAGCGTTCATGTGGCCGGCGGGGGCGCAGACACGCGTTTCAGCGAAAGTGCATAAAAGCATGTTTGCCACAGTTACTTTCGAAACGTGCGAGAAGGGCAGTGCGTCTGGTTTGGGACGCGATAACCTGAGTGTAGGGTTAGAAAACCGGTAGCTCTTTCTGGACTTCGACTTTTAGATGCGGACACAAGTAGCTTTGTCCATAGTCGATTTTGTAGTAAAAAGGTTTATTCCGGGTTTCAGAACTTTTAAATGCAATTGGGTGAATCTAAAGTTTAAGTGTGGACATTTGGACGATGTAGCGAACTGTAGCCCGGTGATGTGTTGAACTGCGTGGTGCAAATATGTGGTTTAATTGTGACGTAGTGCAGAACGCGCACTCATCGGCAGTTTTTTTTTTTTAAAAAAAACTTGAATAAAAGGGGGGCGTATGTGATGTGTGGTGCGCGTTCAAAGTGCGCGCCTTCGAAAAGTGCGCGTCACGGAAAAAAAAAAACAAAAGGAGAAATACCAGAGTGCACGTGCGGTGATGCTTAAACAAGAATGACGACGTTAAAGAGCGTCAAGCACGAGGATGCGTGGCAGGACGTGAAGTAAACAAAAGGTAAAACATCCAATGGGCAGCGAACACGGAGATTTCAAGGCCCAATGGCTTGACACCACGAAACAGTAGTATCTCCAATGAGAACGAGACAAGTGGGCCAGAGCTGAAGCAGGAGCCTGGGGAGACGAGAGCAAGGGGAATTCGAGGCAGGCAGTGCAAGCGGAAGGTCGTCACCGGACTGGGCGCTGAAGATGGGCCGTTGGGTTCCGGACCCGAGCCTACAGGACTTCCACCGGCCGGGGCCTCCTGCTGTCGGGTTCCCGCTCCAAAGGACCGTGGCCATCCGGTCCTGAACTCCTTTCCAGAGCCTGCGGACTTCGGTTCCGGCAGGCGAGCTACAGCCGTCGGGCTCCGGGCCCGAGCTGTGCGCCCAGCTGCTTGACTAGGTCGACCCTAGTTCCCGGACGCGTCGCCACCAGCCTGCGTTCTCCCGTCTCCGACGTGTCCACGCTCCTCAAGCCGAAACCATCACGATTTGGTAGGGCTTTTCGACGTGTCGCCAGCAGCCAGCGTTCCCTCGTCCTCGTCCAGCCCACGCATTGACGCAGGAGTCACGGCGTTCCGGTTTCTCATCACCGCCGAAAACCAACTTGTGGGTGAGACTGCACCGATACTCTTGCGCTACTCCCATCACTCAGCCCCTTTCGAACGTTAGGTTTAGTTACTGACTTTGAACGTTTTTGTTGGGTGTTTACAGATGTGTTTCGTCATGTCCAGTCAACTGTTTATTAAGTGTTTTGTTTTGTGAGGAATCTTTGCCTTTTTTTCTTTTCAATTAAACTTTTTGTGTGTTTCTTGGAAACCGAACGGCTTTGTCCTTATTAACAAAACTCTCTGAGGCTCAGCCCGGGAGAAAAACAAATCAGCAACAAGAACCCTGCATCACAGTCTCCAAGCCTTTTCCTGCTTTCTGACTGCTGTGCACTTGCAGTTCTCTCTGTGTATCGGGCTCTAGATCTCCTTACACTTTGCAGAAGCTCTGTAGACAAGGGAACTTTAGTGGCATCTCCATCATACCTGCGGAGGTATGTCTTTGTCTGGCGCAACCCGTTAATGCTTGCAATGCATAATGAGTAGCGGTTCTCATAAAAGCGCTTATTTTCGCTAAATCCTCGTTCGCAGTCTGCGTTGCCATGTGGCAGGCACAGCAGACACTTGACAAGCCTCGACAATAATGGATACTTTGGTTGACCTCCAGGAGACTTCAGTTCAAATATTTTGCCCCAACGAACATCAATTCTTTCACCTCCAAGTGCCAGGAGGTCACTGTTTGAGTCACACTTTAACATATGCCACTCATCGATGGCTGAGGAAACTTCTTCATGTTTGATTACCTGTGGAAGCTGAGACACAAGGTACTTCAGTGCTCGCACTTCCGATTCAACATTTGTTGACTGCCAATTGAGGAGGCTAGCAGATTGAAGAACTCTATTGTCGAGTGGAAGCTTCTGAAGAAGATCCTTGGCACAGGCCAAGTAAAAAGCACGTGCTCCAAGATAAAACCGCTTCTTCTCGCTAGAGTCCCACTCAAGCATTGATTTTTCAGTATCTGTACCAACTTCCGGCCTTGATTTCCAAAGGGATGCATCCATCACATCTAGCCTTTTCAGTTGTTCAGCGGTCTTGTCTGCAAAGGCTTCATGACGAAGAAACCGACTGAGGACTCGTTGGACTAGAACAATAAGTTCAACGTGAAGTATGTGCAAGAGCGGCTCTTGCTTTTGGAAGAGCAGCTGAAATCCACTGAAAAGCTGCGCACAGTTCTTAAGGAACAACACTTTGGCCAAAAGTTGTTTCTCAGAAAATGCCGACACAAGCTTGTTGTGTAGGCTTTGGGTGTCAGGTCGTTGACGAGATGAATTGCCCTTAAAAAAATAGGTGCGAAGCGCTTCAAACTGTTCCTCAACTCGGCAAAGTGAGTCTTGTAGCGTCAGCCAGCGATTAGAAACGTGGCGCAGAAATACATGACAAGAGATTCCCAAAGTATCCTGGCATTCTCTGAGTGCTTCAGCACGGACAGCACCTTTGAAGTAGTAGTAAATATTTCTCACTACTTCTTCTACATCTAAGCCAAATGCATCCAGGCCTCTGCCAAATGCATTGTGAACCTTATGAAGATTGCAGTTGCCAATATCAATCAAACTTGGTGCCACATGCTTCTGAAGCTTGTTTCTTACGCTCTTCATAACATTAGGGCCATCACTGAAAAAGCAAACAAGTCCTTGCTTTGGAAGATCTGCTATTGCTTCTTCTATGCAGCCAACAATTATTTCAGCGGTTGCACGCCCAAGATCAAATGACTGGACATGTTCAACAACAACTTCCTGTTGGCTGCTGGAAAAATAGCGTACCAGCACATCTAGTTGCTGCACCCTTAGCTCTGGCTTTGGCGTCTCATCAATCATAATGGAAAAATAGACATTTGGCTGGCACAGCTCAGTCACCACTTGTCCTTTAAAGTAGGGACCCAGTCCATCTGATACAATGCGGGCCAACTTTATTCTGCCGCAACTAAACTTTTTGGCAATGTCACTGTCGGGGAACATGCAGTGATAAATCGAAGTTGCCGTGTCTCCCATGAAAAAGGAATTCCCTTGGCCACAACAGACAAAGCAAAAGTAGTTTCTGCCTTGCTGACTTGGTGCTCAAGTGATGTATTAGCAGACCCGTTGGAGAAGTCCAGTGTGCCTTGCACCAATTTGGGTGGAAGAAGATTCCCGTCCTTGTCTCTGTGTCTAGCAGCTGCATCAATATGTTTCTTCATCCCAGCATGACGCTTCACTGCTGCCGCTCCATGCTGTGCGCAAGAAATGGTGCAGTTGCAAAGAATACAAAATGCATCTGTATTCCGGGTTCCACTCTTGCACCACCGACTGATCGGATCATTATTGGAGTCCACCTCGTTGAGTACAGAGGCATTGAACTTGGTGTTGCGATCTGAAAACATGAGCGAAACGAACTTTATGACAGTAAACTTTGCCAAGTTTTTTTTCAGAGCGTGAATATAGGTAAAAGCAACAGGGTAGACAGAAAGAGCACTGACTTCTAACTTTATATCACAGAGTGGCAAGAATATATATGCCCAAAAAAAGGATGATTAAAAACATGACAAAATACAAGCCTAGTCAATGCGTCAGTATAAAAAACTTGCAAATGTGACTACGCACCAACTAGCCCAAGGTTCCGCTCTTGTAAATTTTCCCACGACAAAGGCACGCTAGTAAAAAGAGCACGTAACTACTAGATTTATTTTTAGGGTAGCCCGTAACATAATGCCAACCTTACTTCATTGGAAGATCTAAATACCAACTCTAAGGCGCCAACACCAAATATTTGCGCAAGCATTTTGGGTACAGCCTCGACAAATGGCGCGAATCGGGATGCCAGTTGTCTGTCGACCATTCACACCTAAAACTCGCGACCAACTTACAGGAAGTTGCCATGCGGATGACGCGTGGGTCTGACGGCCGCAGACAAACGCATTGCCCCAGCTGGCAAGGCGGCATAAGGCGCTAATGTATGTTGGAGGTTTGCTTCCTTCCGGCGCGGCGCGCGATGACCAGAGCAGAAATCGACAGCAATGTTTTCCTTAAATTAAATATTTAAAAAAGCTGATTGGGAACGGCACGTCACGAATAGCGGATTCCCAACGATCGGCAGCTGCTAATGCGGTAACATTACGGTGCTTATTGACTTGCTTGTGTTGACATGGTCGACGCTCAATCACTCTTTTCCGACTATTCTACAAGCAGCTCGCACGGTGGGGCGCCCGATCCGTGACGCGCCGGCAGCACATACGGCCCATCTAGCGATCTGCTAACGTCAACAAAAGCGACCCGCCTGCAGAAATTCTTTGTGTATTCCGCGTCACTCGCTCGTTCGTTTCGCACTATTATATGTTCCGAACGGTAGCATGTAGGAGGTGTAACTGCTGCATGCCGTACGAGCGATTGCGCGTTTCAAATGCGGATATTCCGCACTACGAAACAAGGCACGGCGCACATTCCTAAGCCTACGTACAGCGCTCGGACACTCCGAACACAAAAACCATCAGTAGCGAGAAATCGGAAGAACTATAGGCAAGTTGCAACTTCTGTACTGATTCAATAGCAAAGTGCGGCCGGTAATAAATGCCAGCAGCGCTACGCGATCGCCTAAGCATTCACTAGAGTATTTCACGGGCGCTATTAAGAAATGCCACAAAATTTAAAAAGAAAGCGACTTACTTTTGTCCATTTCAACAGCGGGGGGATGACAAACATTCGCTGACTGGTTGTTCACAAGCACATGGCGCACATGCAACGACACGACGTGCTGTGCATGAGCGCGAAAACCTACAGAAAACACCCGAACGACACCGACGAATACCAAAGCTGCAAAGCACATGGTAAACAGTTGCCAACCTAGAAAAAAATTCACTTGTTGCCAACTGCAAAATGAACATCCGCTAAAGTCGGGTTCTTTCGTGCAACTTGGCGCATTTGGCGCAAACAAAACAACACTTGCGCAGTAAGGCGCAGGAAGGTATAATTGTAGCAAATTGGCGCAAATGGCGCAGCTGGATCACTACTGACAGCACAGGCATTATCGGTGAACGCTTGTATTATCATGAGGACAGGCTAGAATGACGACTATGGTAGTGTGCAGACCAGCGGTCTTGCTTGACTGGTCAGCAGGCTGCTGACTCCTCATGTGACCTAACCATTAAATTCTCACAATATCAGTGCATAGCGTGAGCAGGCCAATTGTTGGTAGAGCAGAAGCAAGCGCCAGACCCGAAGTTTGCTTTTCTACCACACAGACATGATAAAAAGTTATCTCATCCTATAACAGAACATAGCCTATGTATTGAAATGGGATGTATTGAAATGAGGAATACCACACCAGGTGACATTCCTTCATTAAAAAAAGACAAATTTTTGAAGGCAGTAAAAGACGTCATACACTAATCCTCATTTGTAGTTGCATTGTTTATATAATTACGTTTAAAGCATTTTTTTATTATTTATTTGATCTGCCATTGTTTGTGTTTATCTCACTTATTCTTAGTTTCTTTCTTATATTATTTACTGCTCTGTACCCACTCCTGCGATAGCCCTGTAACCAGGCTGCAGTATATGAAAATAAAATAAAATAAATAAATATCATCCTGCGTGCCTATAATGAGCACAGCACATGAGCAAGCACGTCTCTGTATGTAACATCACTGTAACAAGCTTCACTCATCTTTAAACACTATTCATAGAAACAATGACCAAGCTGATTTTGGCCCAAAGCAGAGCACTACAATGACGGGTCACATTGTCTGCCGTTACCACTTGAAGCATGGGGGAAAGTGGCACAGAGCATGCTGCTTCTGAACCTGCACGTACAATCATGACGTCTTGCTCATCAAGGCCTGACAACCAATGGTCAATGCTCACCTTTGCATAATGATCCAGCCTACTGTCTTCATCCACTGATTCCATTTCGTCTGCAAATAAGATGAGAGACATTGTGAAGGGTGCGTTACATGGTAAGCTTCCACGTTAAACAACGTTGATGGTATGCAATGTATGCAGATTACCACTAAGTGCAGTGTGCTTTACCTAACCCACCTTTCATCAAAATGTTGTCCACCTGCATGTTTGATCCATACATTGTTATATATTCGCGACTCCAGCAATTCATGTGGCACCTAGCAGCAATATAGGGAAGCTGCGTACTGAGGTCCAAACAGTCCAAGCGCCAGTCGTATACGGTAGGAGCACGTTAGAATGATGCCACCCGTGAAGAAAAAATGAATGGCCAAGCCGATTTCTTCTTTCCAGGTGAGGCACCAGTGTTTACTTGTTAACTCAAACCTATTACATGACCATTGTGTTCAGTGAATACATGTCGCCGCGGCAACCGAAGTATGCAAACAAATTTCGCAGAGACGCGGTGCACCGTGTGCATTACGCACACAATGTGACCACTTCAAAGAACACCGCTCGCGCTTGTGGGACCACTGGTGCCGACTAAAATAAGATGCTCCGCGTCAACAACCCGCTTCCCTTCTACAAAGCAGCGCGAACTGCAATCACACTGCAGAAAACTCAATGTTTGTGTTAGCGACAGCCACGGAGGAAGGAAAAAGGTAAGAAGAGGGCATGTCCAGCCGGCGCAGGGCGTAAAAAATGTGGCGGAAATGACATCATGGCGGCCTTATTCAGTAGGCACAATGGCGGCGTTGTTATGGTTACGTGTTGCGCAGTGAAGCTGGTCTAGCAGTGAGCGGCCGCGGCTGGCGGCGGAATGTGTGCCTCCCCAGGTCTCGTGCTGAGCCGTGGCGGACAATATCTGTGCTCTGCGCCGCGTTATATGTTACGCAGTGTTCGTCTGGCTGTTACATTACTCTTAGCAACGTTTACAAATCTCTTTGTCCATCACAGGGTTTCAACAGTGCGTAGAACAAGTGCATATCCATGTGTCGTGCGGCGGATGACGCGGATGAAGCAGTTAGTGTTCAGCGAAATGGCGTTGGGCACCATGACGAAGCTGAATGACGACGAACGCCTTGCAGGTCAGTGACGGTTGAGCAGTGCTCCTGCTTGTGACAACGGACGACGCTGTCGAGCCCAGCAAGACGCCGTGAGGACCATGTGCACATACGTAGTTTCGTGTTGTGTGTGTACAGTAACAACTTGCATGTGCGTATTAAAACACCTTTTCTGTTCCGCTTGGTACACTCTCCACCAGCATTGCATGTAATCTCAACGTAACAGCAACCACGTTCAACTGTCACTAGCACCGTGCTCAAAGTCACCACGGTCGCAGAATGCTGACGCAGGTGAGTTTCACGCGGAACACGGACACAGTGGCAGGACGCTGCGTCAGTCTCGTGGCGGAATGCAACCGTAGAAGGCGCACGACCGATCGTGTTATCTGTACAGTTGCTGAATTAATGACGTGAAATCACTCGCCGTTGTCAGTGCATCTAGCGCGCGTTCTTTCGTAGTTGCTTCGTTGTCAGCGAGCTGTTACTCTTTGTTATTACTCGGACGAAGCAATTTCGCTGAAGGTGTCCCGCTGGCTCTGAGTGATGAGCCCAGTTCCATTAGTTTCGGATCGTCACGACACACGCGCTGCGCAGCCCACGTGCTTTCCGAGCCGGAGAGGGAGTCGCGCCTTCTGCTTCGCATTCATATGTAAACAAGAGAAGAGAATTTGCCTACTCAATATGGCCGACTTCCGGCTTCATCGCGGCTTCACAACGAGTGACGTCAGGGCCTCTCCTTACCTTTTCCTTCCTCCGTGGCGACAGCAGACCCGGTGACATCTGAGAATTTGCCATGCTGCACTCTGCAGCGCCCTCTCATGCTCATTTGAGTTGCGAATACTGAGCTGTGATTTTCTTTATTGTGTTGAGTACACTTCTGGCTCTTCCATTTACGTGTCATACCGCCAGATGTTTATAAAGATTTTCATTCATCCACCGGAAGCGAATAGATTGATGAAGACAATAGGTTGAGAGAAATGACAATGGTTCTAGTTCTGTTATTAAACTCATTTGTTTTTGCATATCATTACACCTATCATGCATCAG